ACAATACAGGCTTCATGTCCAGCTGCTTACCACCCCCCCCTCCCCCCTGCCTCCTGCTGAAGGCGGCTTCTTCGGCCGCTCACCACTCCCTGCCGCCATCACCAGCTTCTTTGTGTCAGGAGCCCCTAAAACTATATTTTGCAGGGGCCCCCCAAAAATTGTGTGCCAGCCCTGGCCAGTGAAGCCCTTTTTCAGACAGTACCCTAGGAACACCCCTTCCCATATCCTGAACATGCATGTCTGGAAAGGATAAATACAGATGTTAAGACCTTGGGTGTGTTGCTTTTCTGTAAAGCAGTTGGCTCACCATCTCCCTCCCCCACCAGCTGTTGAGATGATTTTCTAGTGCCCAAGATTTCTCTGCCATGTCCAGGTAAGGAAGGTATGACCAGCACTTGATGGAGTTGTAGAAACTGCTGAGAATGACTTTGGAGGAAGCTGTTCAGTCTGGAAGAACCTGTCTGCCATGTGCAGGCCCAGCTTGGGCTGGAGGAATCAGCAGCCAGCAAGTAGCTTGGTCATAGAGCTTGGAGTACGATGGCCCTTAGGCAGGATTGGAGTGCAAGGGCTCCAAATCTCTCTCTCTGTGTTGCTCTCTGGCTTAGCTTCACCAGCTGTGTCAATTCATAGTAATCTGTGAGGTTACATAAGTTTAGAGCCACAGGCCAGCCTGGAAGGGGAAATATGAGGGGGCTTCTGGTTTACCCACAGCAGCATTTGCTGCCATGCTGCAACCCAGAACACAATGGCACTGGCCAGTAGCAGCCAGTCCTCTCCCATAGTGACATCAGGCTTAGCACACAAAATAGCCCATGTATAAAGTATTATGAGCAAGGAGGCACCAAGGCAGGAGCAAGCACATACAGGAGAGCAAATATTCCCTGTTCTCAGAAAGCATCTATATGAAAACATGACACTGGAAACCTCCCATGCCCAGTGGCTCATCGGGATAGAATGAACACCCGTTGCCAGCATGCGTGTGAGCGCAGGCAAGAACATTGCTTATGTGGGGGAGGGAAAGGTTAGGTGGGGGCTCTGTGTGTGTTGTGGGGAAGAGAATTAAGAGCAGTGTTGGAGCATCATAAAGTCAGAGGCAAAGCCCAGGGGGACCTATTTCCTTCCCTAGACCCCTCAGCTGGAGCTCCAGGACAGTCACAGGGAATGTGACAGGATCATGCTTTGGCTGTAGATGGCACAGACTCTGTATGCTGCTGCCAGCATCGTTAGCCTGTCCACTGGAAGTTTTTTGTGTTGGTGAGAGAACCAGTTCTGCCTCACCAAGTTTAGGGGCCCTGTCATGGGGCTGCTGGCTGGTTGTCTGAGGATGGGCATCTCTGCCAGACTGATGCAGCTATTCATAAAGCCTAGTACAGCCCCAGGCTGGTCCAGGATAGCTCCTATACTGAATACTAACCAAACATCTCCATATATACACACACAAGGGCTACATTAAGGACCCAATGGTATTAGTATGTGTAGCCTTTGTTGTAAGGTTGGGAAGGAAGACTCCCAAGGTCCTGCATGTATGCAGCATTCTCATCCAGGTGGGACAGGGGAACTGTATCTTCCTCGCTGACCTGCCGATCGAACTCAGCTTTCAGGGTAGGCCGCTGATTGTCTGGGAAGGCCAGGGAGAAGAGGGCTTCGGGCTCACAAACAAACTTGTATACATAGCGCTCTCCAGCAACCTGCAGGATGGAGACAAGTCACGTACTGCAGTGTCTGTTGCACCCATCCAGCATGCAGCTGAATGTTCCCAGCAAGTAACAACAGTAACAGACACACGGGGCACATCCAGATGAGCATCCACATGCATTTCCTCGGGGACATATAACAAAAGCACATGGTTGTGCCACTGCTCCTTGCCTCCAGGGAACGCCCCTGCAGGTGTGCTCTGGTGCAAGGCAAGTAGCCCCGGGTGGGGTAGGAGAGGAAGGGGCCAGCACCTGGGCTGGCCCCAGCAGCCTTACCTGGGGCCCTCCTGGGGCTCCAGTGGTGGTGATCTGGCAGCAAAGAGCCTGGCCAGCAGCTGGAGTGTATCTCTGGCTGGCCAGGCTCCAGTTTCAAGTGGCACATGCTACTGCCAACGTGCACCACACATTTTTCTAGTGCAGGTTTTTTTGACACTGGCATCTCCCGGTGTCAACCCCACCCCCCTGCACTGCAAATTAGCAGTGTGGGGAATGCCTGCATGTGTGGCATGTGCAGTGTCACAGATGGGTCTGCAGTGTTGCATACAGCATGTACATGCTTGTCTGGATATGCCCATGGGGTAAAAAGGGAGCCATGGTGGCAGGGCTTGGAAAAAGCCTTGGCTCCCTAGCTTTTCTCACTGCATCAGGGGAAGACTACCACCAGTCCCTACAATGTCTTCCCCTCAGCTGCTGCTCTGTTCCTACCTGGAACAGCTTTAGGGAAAGAGAGCATGTCACAAAGTTCAACTATTTTTCCCTGGAAATGCAGGGGGACAAGAGAGAGAATTGTGGTTGTGGAGATAGGAAGCTGTTTGATTGGCAGCAGACTTCTGGATTTACAAGATATTTATATGGTTTCTTGGGGCACCTGGGACTTACAGTTTGGTGCTCTTTAGTAGCTTTATAAATTCACATGATTGGAGCAACTACAGCTTCCCTATGACAGCTATTTATTTCATGGTAGGTTCTTTCCAAATAGTTTTAGGAAGGGACAGTCTCCACACCACAGGGTTCACAAAAATGCATTCCTCTCCCATCACCCTCCAGAGTTCTTCTGTCCCAGGCAGTAATTCCTGGGCATTTGCTGCCAGAAGAATTCCTCCCCTCTCCCCACTGAAGACAGACATGGAGAGATAAAGAAGTATGCCTCCTCTTTGTCATCTTTCCCTGGATTCAGCTCCTTCATCCTTTCCTTTTAGGGTTTCTGTTCTTTCTTTACTGCTGTGCAAGTGAAGGTGTAGGTGAAAGAGGAAGCCTCCAGAAGCCTGGCTGACTCACTGCATGTTCTGAAACTTCTGACCACAAGCAACACAAGTGTCACTGAAGGCCCGAGATGCCAATAAATTTGCAAACTGACCTTCTGCATGATGCCCTTCTCATAATAGTAGCGAAGGGACCGGCTCAGCTTGTCATAGTTCATGGCGGGCCGGTTCTTTTGGATGCCCCAAAGCCTCGCTACCTGCAGCACAAACACCAAAACATATTAACATTTGTGAGCCCCCTGGAAAAGACCAGATGACACATGCATGTATGAGTGTTTGCACACATGTGTTTAGGGGGAGATTCAATGAGTTTCATTTTTAAGGGAAGGCTGCTGCTTAGGGTACTAATACAAATAATTAAGAGCAGCCACACAATGGAGTGAATGATGATAAGTTATCACCTTTTAAGTGGCAGTGAACAATAAGGGCAGGGCTGAAAGACAGGTGCTTCCTTTACCCCCAACACAGAATGTGAGTCTGCAGGCATCCCCAAGGCAACTGCACTGATTGAACAGACTTTCAGTATGCAAACCCCCACTAGCTAATCAGCTTTCTCCTGGTCTCCCGATATGCTGACAATAAACAAGCATGTTTGAGGATTCTGGGGAATCCCAGATGCTAAGCAGCTAGCAAAAATGGTATATAATCCTCTATTCTTCATGAAAAAGGCTTGGCATTTTTTAACAGGTACCCATATATTGATGGGACATTTTCACTGCTATGCCACCTATGGAAAGGGCCACTTCAAATGAAGCTCTTTTCAGCCTTTCATGAAGGCTGAGCCAGTTATACAATTACAAGACAGAAAAACATTGTAAATGTATATCAGTGATTCTCAACCAGAGTTCACAGCACCCTACAGTGCCTTGAGATCCTTTCAAGGGTGCTGCAGGGTGCAACACAATGTTAGCACTGTTAGGCCACGTCCAGACGAGTGTGGCTGTGCAGTATGTGGGGCCGGAGACCTGTCTGCAGCACCACACGCTGCACATTCAGGTATTCTTCCCAGTGCAAGGTAGCAGCACAGGGGTTTTTTGATCCTGGGAGATTCCGGTGTCAAAAAAACCTGTGTGAAAAAAAAAGTGGGGTGGTGCACGTGGGGGCAGTACATGTTGCTCAGAACTGAAGCCTGGCTGGCCGGAGCCATGCTCTGGCTGCTGGCCAGGCTCTGAGCGGCAGGAGTGCTGTGACTGCAGCTCCGTAAGGCATCCGGGACCCCAGGTAAGGCTGCTGGGGACAGCATAAATGGGGTAACCTGCTGTGCGTCAGAGGGCATTTGGCACAGGCATTTCCTTGGGACAAGCAGCAGCAGCACAAGGTGTACAGCTGCTTCTTGATCCCCAGAGAAACAAATTTTTATGCTCATGTGGATGCAGCCTGCAAACACAATACACAAGAGAAACCCAGAAATTTCAGATAGGAATCCACAGTGTTAAAAACGTTCTGACCGGTTGTGATCTTTCTGAGTTTTTTGCAACAAATGAAATTCTCTATTATTTTTCTGTTGTCAAAAAAGGAGTGAAAACTAAGAGCCAGCATTTACCAAGGTCTGTCTTGAGTCTAACCATTTTGAGAACTACTGATGTATGTTAGCAAAGCAGTGACCCAGCAAAGCAACTCAGCCCATCTGTGTGGCATGTGTTTGTAAGAGCCTGAGGTTTAGTGAGAATAGCATTAAATGCAGCTATAAATTGGTCCTGACATTAATGGATGTTGCAGACACATTTCCAGCTGTTATCAGAGTTTATTGCTCTGTTCAGGACAGGGCAACATTAGAAGTGATGTTCCTGTTAACTGCAGTTTCTATCCACCCATGCCTAGAGTAGGATATCCTTTCTTTCAGATTTCTATTAAAAACACTGGAACCAGTGAAATTAAAAAAAAAATGACTGCCTCCAGTCCATTTCTCAGTGAACAGGATGCAGGTGGCATAAAACCAATGTGACACCAGCTTGAGAGTAAAAGTCCCTTGGAAGGAAGGAGCCAGATGGTCCACTCAGTAACTGCATTTTTCCTTAGTAACTCTAAAACCCAGTGAAGGACCTATTGGAGGAGGAGAGTACATAGCTCCTTATTCTGGATACACCATCCAGACTGCTCACCTGCTCCTGAGCCGGGGCTATGAAAACCCCAGCCTCAGTGACAATTCTCAGCTAGCTAGCACCACTGTCAGGCAGGCAGGCAGGCAGGCAGGCAGGGGGCTTTACAGACTTGGGATAAAGGCCCCTGCCCTGATGAGTCTCCAGTCCCAGAAGCTCAGCCCCATGACCCCTCATTTTTCCTGGGGAGAAGCTGAATGGTTTTCACCTCTTCTGGCTCGATGAGTTTGAACTCCATCCCTCTGCCAGTCCATGCAATGAAGTGGGAGTTGGTGGGATCGTCCAGTAAAGCCACCAGGAACTGCCAAAGCTGGAGAGAACCCCGCCGCTGGTATGGGGGTCCTTCCCGGTACCCGCCGACTTCCTGCTTGATGTCTCCTGCTGAGCAGAACAAACAAAGAGGGCTTCTCTACCTATAACCCTTCCCTCTCCTACTGTCATCCGCCAACACTTTTGTGGGTGAGGGCTCCTCACTTCACAAAGAAGGGGTGAAAAGAGCTTCTCAGTGGAATGGCACAGAAGTCAAGGCAAGCCACAGGCAGCACATACTGCAGATTTCCTCCCCCTGCTATTTATGCAAGGGAAGAGAGTGGCTGCACAAACAGGCCTCAGAGTACAGTGAAAATTGGACTACAAAAGATCTGTGAATCACCCTGCAGTGTAAACGCAACAAGGCACCCATGGGTTTGGCTCCCCCCTCCCCCCCTCCTGCACTGGGGGCTAGAGACTGCAGCCACCCAATTTCTAGGAGCCTTCTGCAGAAAGAACTTCGTACTAGATGTGTTTTCCTTCTAGCTTCACTGCCTGCTATAGACTCGTCTCACCATTTCTGCTGTTTCACATCCCAGGAATAGGGTATCACTACTGGCTGTCCCTTCAGGCCCAGGCACACATCTGTCATCAAGCTGGATGCAGCACAGCTGGCTACCACCCAGCATCAAAGTGTGTTATGTAAGCTCCCCTTTTATTGTTCACAAAGACAGGGCCAGCCCCTGGAGTCCTCAGTGGGGCATGCATATACTAAATGGGATGAGTAAAGCTGTAATTGTTTCTGAGAAAGGCAGGTGCCAGCACTCTGGGCAGATGTTAGGCCTGAATTCTAGCAGAAAGCATTTACAAGTTCAGGCTTGACTCCCTGCAGCAGCAAAACATGGCTACAGTCTGCATCCCTTCCTGTGGCACTCCTACAGCACGCTCTGTGCTGTGGTTGACAGGCTGTGGCCAGGATCAGACTAACCAAAACCTGTTTGCAGATTGAACAGTAGTCACATTACTGTGAGTGATGTTAACTCCAGCGAGCTGCTTTTTGAAGCAGTTCTGGGCCAAGCCAAACACCATGCTCAAAAGTCTGTTTCCTGCTATGAGAAGCCCAGGAAACACGTTCCTGAGAAGCAGGATATCAGGTATGGCTCACGCATAAGGAAGGAGTTCTGTCTTATGGACAGGGTCCTATACTAAGTAGAGCAGGCAGTGTACACAATGCTGCCTGGTGACCTGGCTACAGAGGGCATTGGATAAACTTGCCCCAGACCAGAATTTGGAAATCACACCATTTTCTTTCAGACCTTCAAATTTTTCTGGAACAACACAGACATCTTCAGAGAATGGCCTCATTTGCTTGTCATAGCCATATCCTAGAAAGAGACATGAGCAGCAGCAGTCAGAGAACACAAAGAAAGAGCAGCACTGGAACAGAGGTCATTATAGCAGAAGTAGAGGATCAGGAGATAGTGTCATATGCAACTCTTACCTAACGGCCCTTCAGTATGTGAATGGCTTCGGTAGCCCTCAGTGTTCATGTACATGGAAGGACAGCCAGCATCTACAGAACAATCAGAAACACACATCTCTTCAACCAACTTGAGCCCTTCTAAGGAAAACAGAAAGACCAGGGTAGCCTTAAATCATCTACTCAGTCTCATTCTAGGCTTGCCCTCTCAGCAGGTATCCAACAACCATGGATTATAGGAAGGTATAACTGTGATACTGCCCAAAGCACTGGCTTTGTCTGTGATGCCAAGTAGAAGGAGAGAAAATAATCTGTCCACACTGTGCACTGTCCTGGTAATGCAGAATCCTGGAAGGACAGGGGCAGGAGTATATATATTCATTTGCTATTTCTTTTCCATTTAGATCTGGGTTAAGATAACATTATACTGGGTGGTGACTGTTCCAGGTAAGGGAGCTAGTATATTACTATATGGACATTACTATAGTTCAGCTGCGTACTGTAGCGATATTGATGCATGCTGTATAAAAAGTCTGTCTCAGCCGTATAGTTACAGGCATTTTGCATTTAAAATTTAATAAAGTGTTGTTCTAATCATTAAAGAAAGCATGAGGTTAAAAAGGTGGGAAGAGAGCTAGTTTAAAGGCTCTGTCCACTAGGTAATACACAACTAGTGAAGTTTATACTGCATTTTATGTTTTCCCAGATCAAACCTGTTTTGTAGCTCCAGATGGACTGGGGCTGAGCATTTTGGGATATTATCTCATATCTATATCTATATTATATTTTGGGATAAACATTATCTCATATTTTTAGGGTTTATCTCATCTCTTGTGCAATGCAGCTGCCTTCAGCAGAAAATTTCCTGATGCTACAGGCAATGGATACACTCAACAGACTCCACTGTACATTCATCCCTAATATAAACTAGGTTGATGAAAGCTGTTTCTCTGCAGGCAGCACATCTTCCACCCCATTTTGGACACAGGGACTTGGAGAAGGGGTAACAGCAATGTAGCCACAGAAATGCATTTTGGACCTTATTGGGAACTTAGACTGAATTTATTTTTGCTAAGGGACACCAGTCTGTTAAAATAACCATAATGCAGTCAAAACAGGCTTTTAACGTAGCAAATATTTTCCTTCCCTGTATTGTCAGATTCCCAGGCAGCCCCCTTTGGAGTTTACTAATACACAATTTCATAACGTTGTGATCAGCTCTGAAATCCTCTGTGATATGTGTGGAGCAGGGCTTGACAGATTTGAGGGATTCAAACTGAGTGCAGTGGGCTAGCAAACTCTGCCTACCCCAGCAAACCAAATTCCAGCTCTGCTCTTGCCCGTGACCTTGGGGCGGCTCTCACCAGCCCGAGTGGGGTGAAAAGCAAAAATCTAAAAAAAGCAAAGATCTGTTCATTGGAGCAAGGGGGGTTTATCGTAATGATTTAACCTCCAAGCCAGGGAGTCATTCCTCATTGTCCCTGAATTGCTCCAGGCAGCAGTCAGACAGTTCCACTCCTGGCTCATGTTACCAGCCACGGGCTGATGTCAGCTGCCTATAAGAAGAGAGTGTGTGGTGAAAACTGACACCACCGACAACCCGCCAGGGAGTTCAGCTCCTTCCCCAGTCCTCCATTTTGTGAATGAAATTCCTCCAACTCCATTCAGACGGAGAGGAGCTCTCTCTGCCAAGCTGCAGGGAGGGGCTGCAGTTCAAGGTTATGTAATGCAATCCCTGGCACTGGGGAGAAACACTCCAGCTCCACCAGCATTTGAAGGTCACCCAATGAGCATGTCTTTTGCTGCAGAGACCTGAGGCACGTTCCCTGTACATTTGACTCCAAGACATCTGACTCCCTTCTCTCTGCTTTTTTCCACAAGGGGATTTCAGTGCAACTTCTGCAAGGCTGATGCTTGTATAGCTCAGCAAAACCAGCAGAGAGTGAAATGGAGATGCAGAGGAGCTCACAGCAGAGCCCAAGGCTGGATGAGGACTTCTCAGCTGGTTCTTTCTGCAGATCCCGCTTACTGTTCCTCAGTCCGTTCCCTCTGGCTAGCTTTATGTCCCAGCTGACCAGAGCCAAACCCATGGGCTAGAACCACCTTTCCTCCCATGAGGGTTGTCCCAGGTGGAGAAATGTCACCTGAGTATAAGCATCCCATCCCCAGCTCTCGCCAACACCCACTATCCACCTATCCATGTAATTTAGAGGTGTAATATTGCCACAGTATCTGGGTACCTTCCATGGAAAATCAGTGCTCTTCTCTGACAAATCCCTGGCCTCTGAGCTTGTGACTCAGGAGTAGGGGATCCACAAAGGTGACATTTAAAAGTGAGAAAAGGTTTTGGTTTTTTTAGCACAATGTATATTATCCTGTTTGAACTCACCAGTACAGGATGCTATTTAAGGCCAACAACTTTGACATTTATAAGAATAATGGGTATGAATAATGAGAATATCCAGAATTACCCTTAATGAGTTGCAAACACATTAGGGAGATAAACCCTCCTGCTTCACAAAATGAGCCTGTCTCTAAATGCTTGGGACTAGGAACCAATTTTAAAAATATTTCCGTTACAGGGTGTCTTGCACAACTCTCCAGCCCTCTGGTGTTGGGCACTGTTGGGGACAGGAGACTGGGCAACATGGACTCCAGTCTGATGCGTGGTTCCTAGGCTGTGATGTGAGGATATTCATTACTGTTCACCTCTGTAGGGAACAGAACTGTCCCAAAATCACTCACGTGTGGCTTTGGATTAGTGACTTTGCACTGCTGGAGGGAAGTCAGGGATCGCAGGATGCTCTCAGCACAAAGAACGAAACAGAGAAGAAGACATGCCCCATGCTTTCTCCTCACTGATGGCAAGTGCATTCAACTGATCTGGAGGAGCAGGCTCCTTCTTTTAAGGACTTGCCCTTGGAATCTAATGAGAACATTACTAAAAATACATCCAGAAAGAAAGAGTCTGCTCCCAAATCCATCAAGATGAGGTCACTGCAGCCTGGACATGTGCCAAAGTGTTTCTGCAGGTTTCAAGGGTCAGAGTTCCAATTAAGAAACATTCTCTGGTACCATTGTTAAAGGAAACATTATTCTTATGGTCCAGGCTGATGGGGGACATGGCCATATGACTGAATATATGACTTTCTATGTTTTTCCTGGTCTTTGCCACCACACTCAGAGTACAAGACTCCTGTATGACATCTTACATATTTGATTCTATATGAACCCACTCTTGCACCACTGATAGTGCTTTACTCCTGATTTCAATGATGCAGAGCCCATCACTCTATGTATCCAATACTGGCAGGGAACTGGGAGCAAAAAACCCCTGGAGACTAGGCCACTGAGCAGGTAGAATGGGAGGCTCCCAGGACAACAGCCCCTATTCTAAGCAGTTATAGGATCACCAGTATTTCAACACCAGCTGTTTTCTAAAGATTCTCTGCTTTGTCATGTAGCAAGGAGAGAAGTCCAGCATAATGTCCCCTGACTGACCTAGGTTGACTGACCAGGCCCAGGCAGAAAAATTGGGATATCTGGTCCTCCCTTCTGCCCAATCCTCATTTAAAATGATCAATAACTGGCTATTAGAAAATATGCATTGCTGTGCATTAGCCTGCATTACCCCTAGCTCAAAAGTGCACTAGTAAAGGAGGGCCCAGGAAGCCTCTGACAGCAGAGTGCCTGTAGTTTCAAGTTCAGGCACAGGGCTAAGGGAGTCCAGACCCCTACAGAGAGATGTAAACCCAAACGTATGGAAAAGACTTGAGGAGCGATTTGGTGACCATCAGTACCCTTCATCAACTGGCTAGGATGCTTTTCGGGGCGGAACTCTATCTTTTTGTTTTTGTACAATGCATAGCTCTGATCCTTGTTCAGAGCCCCTAAGCTCTATTGCAGTAGAATTCATAATAATAGATTATGGTAGCGTAGGAGTGATGTTGTAGCTGTGATGGTCCAAAAATTATGTGGGTCAAGGATTTCTTAGGGTGATATCTTTTACTGGACCAATAATGTAGTTGGGATAGAGTTAGATAAGCTTTTGAATGCAAGACATTTGAGGGACCTAAACAAGAATGTCTTGCATTCAAAAGCTTGTCTAACTCTATCCGAACTACATTGTTGGTCCAGTAAAATATATTACTCTGTGAAATCCTTAACTCTCACATGATAATAAATTACTGTATGTACTCAAATCTAAGATGACCTTGACTTTAAGACGACCTCTCAATAATAGACTCTATACATGAAAAATTAATAAATTTGTTATAATTTTTCATATATAGACTCAAATTATTTCAAGGTATCTTTAATTCATCCCCACCCCCACTGCTGCAGTGGGGCAGACAGTGGGGGGCAGGTGGTGGGGAGAGGTCAAGCACCTTACCCTTCTTATGTCCCCAGGTTACCTCTGTCCCCTTCCTGCCTTCCCGTCTGCATCCTTGGGTCCCTCTTCCTCCTTCCTCACAGCCTCTACTCCCCCTTTCCTGCAGGCTCAGGAAGTTCCTGTCTTGCCTAGGGAAGTGTTGAAGTGGTGACTGCATCGGGGTTTTGAGGTCTGGGGCCTTTCTTTCTGCTCCCTCCCACCTTGACCTTGCTCTGTACCAGCAGGCACCCTCCCCATGCTAGCCAGGGGCAGTGAGAATGGCCCCAGCCCAAACCCTGTAGCAGCCATGCAGGTTGTGTGCTGCTGCTACAGAGCTAGGCTGGGGTGGTGCTTAGTGCTCCAGGCTGCAGCATGGATGGAGCCTGCCAGCAGGGAGAAAGGACCGTGCGGGAGGGAGAGGGGCAGGTGAGGAAGCAGAGCCTGTGTGGGGTGGGGAGATACGGGGAAGAGGCTACATGGTGGACATGAAGGGGTGCAGGGGTGGCAGTGGGAGGGTGGGCAGCTGCAGCAGCTATGGCCCTGATCCTGGGTAGGGGCTGGAGCCCCAGCCACCACAGCTGCCTGCTCTCACTGATACTTGATTCTAAGTTGAGGGGCTCCCCCCATGTTAAATGAGGGGGAAAACCTTATCTTAGAATCAAGTAAATATGGTAAGACAGACTGCTTGGGTAACAACACCTGAGGGATCCTTAGCTGGCAGCCTGGGAAGTCTGATTCATAGAATACAAGCCAGTGTGAATCGTTCTCATCATCTAATCCATGGGTTGGCAATCCCTGACATGTATGTCAGAGCATGGCAGGTGAAGCCCACATTGCTTACACCAAGCAGCCCCGGCTCCTTCCCTGCTGTGCTCCCTGAGGCATGTGTGCAGCCACTGCCTGCAATGAGCTGGACCGGGGCTCTGGACCCAAATGCAGCCACTTGCAGGTTTGTGGCTGCCTGCTGCAAGCAACCTAGACTCTGGTAGGCTCCTGCCACCCACCACAGAGCCTGGGCTGCTCACAGCAGGTGGTGAGCAGCAGATACAGCAGGCAGTGGTTGCATGCACACCTCAGGGAGCATGGCGGGGAAGGAGCTAGGGTTGCACTGCCACAACAAGGATCAGGACCCTCATGGCTCCCCTGCCAACTGCCCACATCTTCCAAAGTAAGGTTGCAGGGTTTTCTGGCACTCAGCCCAAAAACATTGCTGACCCCAATCTAGTCTGACATCCTACATATCACAGACCAGGGAACCTCACCCAGGGATAAATTCTACATGAGCTCCATCACTTCTGGTTGCACTAGGGATATCTGGTATTGATTTGAAGACTTCAGGAGATGGAGGCTCCACTTTGTTCTCAGGCACTCATAGGCTGGGATCAAGTCACTGCTTACCCTCCTGCTGGATAAACTGCATTGACTGAGCTGCCTGAGCCTTTGGATTCCTAGGGCTTTAATCTTTATGATAGTGCTTTCCTGGATGCTCCCAGAGGTCTGTCTTAGGCTCAAAAGATATGGTAGTGGAGGGGGAGCTATCCCTAGGGAGAGGGAGCCAAAGTAGCCAACTCTGTTGCAACATGGGATGGTAACAAGAGGCCATGGTGATGCTGCAGGAGTGAGAAGACACCTCAGGAAGCCATCTTACCCAGGGACAGCAATCGGGCCCACATGCACTGTTTCAATTAGGAGGATTTTCCTGCCCTACCTGAGTCATATGCATAGTCGGTCTGCTCTTGCTTGATCACCAAGCCTGCTGGGTACTGGCGGGTGCTGCTGCCCCCCATCTGGTTTGCTTGCTCATACGTTGGGTCGTGGTACTCCTGTTTAAAGCCCTGCTGAGGGTACTGCAGGCAGGGCTCAGACATCTGGCGCTGGTAGGCAACTGGGGCTTCTCGGCCCGTGCTCTGGGAGGAGGGGAAAGAATGGCACATCTCCACAGGTGGCTGGTAGATGGAGCTAGAACAGGGGGAAATTGTCAATGTGGAGGCAGTGCCCCTTAAATCCATACATTCTGGACCCCTGTGCCAGGACAGGGAGAATTGGGACTTATTAAGGCTATAGAGGGGGCTGTATAATACTTGCGAGAGCTGCATGTGCAACTACAGCCATGCAAAGACACCACGTGCAGGGTGTCCCAAAGCCCGCTGTGATCAGTAACAATACAGCTGAATGGGCTTCAGCTGACTGATGCCCCCACACTGGGCAATAACTTTGAGCAGGTTGGGCACAAGAGGAAAGTTTTGTTATTGCTGGTGCAGACTGCTTTGATTTGGATGTGGCGCCCATCCCCAAGCACTAAACAACTTCAGAGCACCCTGGAGGAGTCCCCCCAGTCACTAGAGACCTGTGGTCACTCACCTGTGTTCCATGAGGTAGCCACGGCTGGAAGTGGGTCGGGATGGACCCTGCAGGCTCAGGAAGCTCCTGTCCTGCCTAGGGAAGTGTTGAAGTGGTGACTGTATCGGGGTTCCTGGGTCTGGGGACTTGATTCCAGCTTGTCTGGTTTGATCATAGGCACTGAGACAGTCAAGCAGATATTGAAACATTATAATCCCCTGAGAGCAACTCATTCTATTTGCTGGGGACAACATGCCACAAGCAGACATATGGCGTGAGCTTCTCTCCAGTTGTTGATTCTTCTCATTGATAAATCTAAAGGTACTTTACAGAGCAAACACGAAGAGAAGACTTCTGGGCTGAAGAGCTTACACTGAAACTCATGCAAATACTCAGGAATGGTGCAGAGACAGATATGCAAAGTATCTGGGGAGGGAGATGTGGAAAGGTGGGGTCACATGGGAGACATGAGGAGAGAGTATAGTTTCGGTAGTGGGACCAGCCACAGAGACTCAATAAGAAGATGCAGGAAGTCTTTGGGGATATATTAGGATGCTGTTATCTGTGGAATGATTTATTTTAACATGTAAAATGCTTTTACTTGCTTGGGTGCAAGGGCCAAAACAGGCAAAAGGCATTAACAGGTTTCTACTGGGGCAGGAACTGACCCAATCGCTGGTTTGCCTCACTGACCCAGCAGTCAACCCAAGACATGCTTCAGTAATACTCATTCATCCTTCCCTTTGTCACGTAAGCAGCATTACCTGGCATAAAGGCACTGCTCGCCATTGCGGTACCGAAATGGCTGCTTATGGCTGCAGGACAGTGCGGGGTCCGAAGAGGGACTCTGTGGCTCCTTCTTAACTTTAGCAGGAGGACTGTGAAAAGCTACTGAGGGAGAGAAAAAAAAAGTCAAGTCAAAATCCCCACTGGATCCAGCGAGGCTAAGACACCCAGACAGGCCCAACCCAACCCAGTTCAACTGACTTCACGTGAAACAAAATGCCAGTGGACACAGCTACTCTCTGGAGCTCCAGCCAGAATTCTTCTCTGCTCTCCCCAGCGTTGGAACAGCCGATACTCAAGGTTCACATACTGGCATAACCTTTAAGAAGCAACTCTAATGAAGAGGCAATGCGCACTATAACTTTCCAGAGCGATCTCAAAGGGTTTAAAAAGGGTATTTGCTGAGCAGTCCAGAGCTTGAGGAAAGATGCAGCACAATGTCACAGGAGATCATGCATAACCATTCTGTTATAACTTAAAGGGTGACATTCATGTATCACTTTCTAACACCCAAAAGCCAAATGCTGGCTTTGCATCATGTGAAATACTTTCTCAGATCTGCATACTTGTTAACAATGCGCCACGATGCATGATGCTATCCTGTAATATGCTAGTTGGTTCTGTAGGGCAGGGGTATCAAAATAATATGGCCACATGAGCTGGATGAGGGCGACTGGGCTGGTCTGCAGGCTGGACTGGGACTGACCCCCTGGGTAGGGCCCACAGTGCCAGGTCCAGCCAATGTGCCATACGCAACACACAGGCCCTAGGGCTCAATGTGCACATGGCACATGGGGCTGGCATGGGGCATGTGCTACCCATGGCACATGGGCGGGACCCAGCACCAAGGGTGTTGCCCAGAGGGTCAGTCTGCACCACATACAGACTGCACCCCAGACTCCCTGTGCCACACACAGCACCAGGTCCAGGCCACAGGCTGTGGGCAGCGTATGCCCTGTGCTGGCCCTGGTGGCAGATTAAGATTTATTGGGGCTGTGGGCAAACAGAAAATTGGAGGCACTCCACACACCATTATAAACATGAATGTATCAAAAAGCATTAACAAATAGACCCCTTAAATGTTTACAGGGTGCATTAAGAAATAAAGCACAACACACGATGTCAAAATAAACTACTTAATTTTGCTGCACACACAACCGAATAAAACAACTGCCTTAGGAAAATGACTCAGATGTGTGGGATCACCATAAATGTATAATAACGACATGAAAGGAAAGATGGTCTATTGGTCATGTAGACTCTTGTCTGACTCCTTTTTTTCAATACACATTTTACATTGTACCTACACTATGGCAAACTACTACAAGAAAAATACAGAACACAGTGATAGCCTCAAGCATGAGTCTAAGAATACTGTTCATGTTTCTTGCAATTAAAATAAAGCAGTAGGCCTATAAAATACATCTCAGTGTGTTTTTTTATCTTTTCTGAAACATTAAAAATATGCTAAACTTCATGTACTTTAAAGCTCTCTTTTAAATACACCCATTACACCTGTTTCATTGCTACCAACATATAATTATGTAACCAAAATGTATAGATATATACATTTTGGTTACATAATTACACAATTACACACACATAATGCCCCCCCACCTATATTTATCTGTATATAAATATCTATATAGATGCGCACACACATACACACACACACACACACACACACACACAGAGTTTCCCTCACTTTATGTGGGTTCTGAATTTGCTCTTATGCGATGACCCTTTTTGTACCTAAAATTCATTATATGCAAGGTAAATTCACTCTTATGCAATCCGTGTAGTGGAAGCCCGCAGTCAGCTGCTTTGTGCAGTGCATTGTGGGAGTGACACACACCAAAATTTTGTCTCCTGTGTGGATCTGTGCTCCTCGCTCATTGTTTCTGATACATGTTTCTGTAGTTGCTATCCCCATTATGATAGTGTATGATAGCTTGTTTCTACTGTCTGCTGTTGGTGAGTACCAAAATTGTCTTGTAAAAGAGGTAGAAATGGGTCTGGGGGTCAGTACAGTCGAGGTCTTGGAACGTATCCCTATTTGTTACATTGTAAAGAGGGTTCCCTTTATGCGAATTCGAGTGACGTGCTATTTTGCAGAAACAAATGTACAGCGTAAAGCGAGGGAAACCTGTATAATGCATCTCTCTAGGCACATGGATAGACAAACAGACAGATCTATATCTAATCATTCCCTGGAAGAGCTTACACTTCCCCACACGAGCTGCCATTACTTGGGAGAGATGCAGACCCCCCTCTATTGGTAGCCTTATTTGGGACTGAGAAATGCAGGAAGGGGAAGAGGTATTCCCCTTCTCTGTGTCCCAAACCAGCTCTTGGCAACAGAACCAAAGCACAGCACACTGCCCTGCAGGGGAATCTGGCATGGTTTGGGGTCATACCTGCCAGAGCTGCCTGCAGGAGAGCTCCACATGATATTGCTGAGCAGATGGATTTGGCTCCAGCATTGCTAGGGGGGTTTCATGTGTGCTGGCAGTCTGTCCTGAGCTGTCTGCCTGCTCTGCAACCTGAGCCTTGGGAAGGAGGGAGGGACAGTGGGCAGGATCAGGCCCCCTTTAGGTGCAGGGAGAGACAGACCAGCTGGGCAGTGAGTGGCAGCAGCAGCAGGGATCCTTGCCTCACCTTGGTCATTCCCACGAAACAGTCAAATAAGTTCCCAGTCACCACCTCCCACTGGCTCTCATGTTTAACATGAGATAAAGCTTCAGTATTTTGCAGGACTTTCCCCTGCAGGCTGGGGAGCAGAGTGGGCCCCTGCCCCAGCCCCCAGGAGCCCCTGATTGGCAAGGCCCCTGGGCCCAGGACCCATGGGCCCATGCATTAATCTGCCCCTGGCTGGCCCTGCATGCCACATGCACAGCAAATCCTGAGGCCTGTCCTGAGCTCCGTGCATACTGCATGCAATGCATCCACCTCGCCACATGCTCTGCACACTGCACAGAGAGCCAGCACAGTAGGGGGGCTGCATGAGGTGCTCTGTTGGACCAGTCCTTCATGCTGGCCCTGGCATGGCATAAGCAGACTGGCCCTGAAGCCAGCATGCAAGGCTGGTCTGGCAGGTGCCACAGGCAGCACATGCCCCAGACCAACCCTCTGTTGTGTGCAGGGTATGTGGTACTGGGTTCAGCCTGCACACTGCACGCTAAGCTGGGGCCAGCATATGACCCATGAGCTGGATCAGATGGCTCTGTGGGCCAGATTTGGCCCGTGCGTTGTGTGTTTGACACTCCTGTTGTTAGTCAGTTAGTTTAAGGTGGCTACCCTAGTAATCACTGTGTGGGAAGCTGAAGATTGCCTGTGGGAAAATAGTAGGATATTTACTAAGGTTGCATTCATGTTTAGCTCTGTACAAAAGCATTATGAAACAACATGTTCAGAAACATCTGAATGACCGAGGCGGCTAAATCCCATTTTCAGAAATGACCTTATATTTACCAGTCCAAATACCATTCATTTTGAATGAGACCTGAGCTTCAAAGTCATCCAGGCAGCCCTGGCAACTTTACCTGCTGTCTGTGCCCAAAGCTCAATACAGACAATGTAATGCCAGACCATGGGACATGCAGGTCAGAGGTCAAAGCTCCAACTGCTTTATGTGCAAGATTAAAATCCTTCTTAACCAGCAGTAGCAGAAAGGTCTTAGTTCACAAAGTAAGCAATTTCAGATCATCTCCTGGCCATCAGATAAAGGCAACCCATCTTTGGTTAGCACCCAATGCATTGTTACACAGTAGGCTGCATAATATATGGCATTCATCAGCAGGGTTTCAGATGACATACAAAGGTTAGAGAGGTTTCCTAATCCTCTCATCCCAAGACTCCTCCTGGAGCTGTGGGGAGAAATCTATTGTGAAGAAGGCATAAAAACTGCATCCCAACATCCTTTTTTATTTTAATTGTCTAGTTAGAAGAAAGTTTGGCACAAGGCAGACAGGTTTCTGGCTTGTTTATGTTTGGACAACAGCCATATACATTCAGGGAGATGTTTACTCAAGGAGTGGCAGCTCAGCAACGAACTGTGAACTTCTGTGTCTCAGAATAAGTCCCTGGCTGTGTTCCTGATGCTTAGGAATCCATAGACAGAAGCTGCTAAAGCCCCAGATGAACAAAGAGCATCTCAGTGGGCACGTCTACACAAGATGCTACTTCTTCATCGTGTCTCCAGTCCAACCTTTCTATACAGCCTGTTCCCAATATTCTGCACAGGCCACTGCTTCTGGTGTTGGTTTTCCCAGATCTTGTGGGGTGCATTGTTGTGCTAAAGGCCGCCTCAGGAATTGACCCATGGTTTGCTTCTTCTAACAAACATGTTGGTTGGTTGCAGAGAGGCCCCATGATTTCATAAGAAAGTTGCATTTTCCAAGATCCAGTCTCAATCTGTCCGGGCTCTGCCATGTATGCCATTTGTAGTTGGAGCCAAATGCTAACTCCTCACTGGGGGTAATTCCTTGCTGGCTGCATTCAACAGGTTTGTCACTTAGTTACTCCCATTCTTTTTGCCAGGAGACAATGAGACGCTAGTGTGCAGTGGTTACTGTGCATTTATTTAGTGCTTGTATAATCAAGCACTAAATAAATGCCAATAACTGGAGTTACTGTGCACTGTGCTAGCGAATGCCTTTTTAGTGATGCTACTGTGCAGTAGTTGAATAATACTGCATAGTAGCATATTAGTACTGTTTGTGTTGTGACACACCACTACACAGAATTATTCAGCTACTGCACAGTTAGCATCTCGTGTAGATATGCCCAGTGAAAATAACAGCATGGAAAAGGATCAGACTGTGCTAATGGGAAGCTACAAGCTGCAGAACTCCCTCCTCATGTAAATGTGGAAAGTGTATATGCAGAATGAGATGTACTAGGTTGTAGGGCTTGCATAAGTGGGGATGTGTGGGGGTTAGTGATGGGGAGGCCCTGTAGGCTGCAGTATAGCCCCAAGGTCTGTTTCTCCCACTGTACCAAAGGCTTCTGTTCTGTCCATTCTAATCTGCAATGTATCACCATCTCTTGGACACCTGAATCACAAAGTTATGAAGCTCCCACCTGCAGCATGAACAAGAGCCTTC